CAAAATTTGTTTAAATATTACTATTTATAGATTACTTATATAAATAAATCAATATTATGAATGCATGACTTTTGAGATAAATTTTTTCATATCACTACTGAGTTTGCATTTAAAGGGTTTATCATTAGTCTTGGATTGTGTCTAAGAGTCAATTCATAACTTTTGGCGCTCTTCGGTATCAAAGTGTGTGGTGTTGTGGAGCAAGAAATTGGCCGTAGTTTTTAGGAGTTCCCGTTCGTCGAAGTCGGGACAGTTCCTGAAGTTACACCAGTTTATGGCGTCTGCCTCTGATATGCCCAACCCGTGCAACTGCTGCACGAGCGCCGCCCTCTGTCCCACCATTTCTGTCAATTGCAGCCAACTCTCGACGGTCTCCTCGTTATCCCAGTCCTGTCGGGCGTCGGTGTAGTCGTGCATAAGGCGTGATAGGCCGAGAGGGTGGGCTGGTGTTCGCGGGTGTTGGTCGCGTAATAGCCGGCCCACACGCGCGCCGAGTGGATACTACATATGGCTGGAAACATGTCGTCCCACCACAGCCTATCCCTTTGGGCCGGAGTGCTGTTCCGGAACTGTTGGACAGTATGGCCGACGAAGTAGTCGGTGAGCCGGCGCTGGGCGTCAAAGAACCGGTTCCGACGCATCCTATTCGCGTTGGAGTCCATACACTCCACTCTCATCCGATAGTCGTACCGATTGTAGTCTTACTCATCCCTGTCCGCCAAGTGGATGCCCTGTATGTCGTAAAGTCCTCTATTTGCAAGCAATTGAGCCAATTCCGAGTCGGGATTTATTAGGGGTGGGATCGGTATCCCTATATCCACTTCTATGTGTTCGACGGGAGGCGGAACTGGCTCTTCAGGCGGGTTGGGCTCGGGTTCACCACTGGTTCTGTATGTCTCACGAGTCCTGCCCCTTACCGGTGGCACATAAAATTCCTCATTTTCTTCCCCTCCAACCATACCGGCACCTACACCTACACCTACACCCTCAACTTTACCCCTACCTCCACCCCTTCCTCTACCTCCACCTCTACCTCTTCCTCCCCGGCCACCACCGGCTCCACCTCCACCCTGTTCTTCATCTGAACTATTATCCGGATTCATTGTCTTTGATAGTAATGTCTGTTTAAATCTTACGATGCAAACAAATGTTTGGTTTGATTTTAAGGTCTATTTTGTAATTTGTGAAAAGTTTGAAAACTTTTATTTCAAAATAAGTGTTGAATTTTTAATTGACTTAGTATTTGCTTTTAAAAATATATTTATTATCATTAAAAGGTACAAAAATAGAGTAAAATGGAAATATATTTTCAAAAATATAAACTTATTTCACAAGAAATTCGTTGATAGAGTCGGCGATTCTGTCGAAACTCAGATCATCCGGATTGTCCTCCACTGCCTTGAAGTTCAACCGCCCCTCCAATCCCTGGCCATTAAAAAACATTACAAATTCATTAATATTAAATTCTAATCAATAATTACTTAATATTCTGTATAATCAGCGAATAATTCTAAAAATCATAGAATATTCTCTAAAATAAAATAATATTCTGAAATTTTATTGAATCTATGGCTCACAGAATGTCCATAAAATGTGAGACATTTAGCAAACAATACCTTTTCGGGCAAAAAATACGAGTCTTTGATGCGATCGATCTGTTGCCCAATGATAACCTCACCGGAAGCCGGCTGTCCATCACCTTTGTCACCCTTACCTTCATTGGGTTTAATGATCAGTAGTTTACCACTCATTTCCAACCACTTTTTGCCCAAATTTAACGCCTTTTGCTTCAGTTTAGTCTTCATCTTCAGCCGATACCCACTGAAGAGCTTTGCCCTAAAGAAGCTACTCTTGAGGATCTCATCCAAATTCTTAGCCACCAGTCCTTTGCCCACAAACTCCCGGAGCTCTGACGCCAATTTAGCCAACTTTGCGTTCACATCCCCTCCCGTTTGTCTCATATCTCTGAGCAGCTTATCCTTCACCACTTGCGGCAAGTCTTTGGATATGAATTTCGTGATCAGTTCCACGAGATATTCATCGCTCAGCATCTCGTCGGTCATCTGAGTCTCGCTCATCAGAT